TACAAAAGAGAAATGGTGCAGAAAGATTCAGACATAAAAGTACTTTGTTAATAGGAACTAGCCCATTCAGAAAGAAAATGTCTTACAATAACTTAAATTTCATTCATTGCTTACACTACAATAAAAAAGCACATTTTTAGTCTTGTTTTTGCCACTGGTAAAGTCAGTCATAAGTGGCATGTACTTCATATTTTATTTCAAATAAAGAGTCCCTGCCATGAGTGTCAAGCCCAGGGGTGGACAATGATTTTTGGTGGGAGGGGGTACTCCGAGAATCTGGTGAATGGTTAAGGACTGCATTCTTCCATGATATTAATGGAGGAGGTATGGAGTGTGGGCTGGCGATTGGGTGCAGAAGGGAGCTTGGGGAAGGTGACTGGGGTAAAGGAGCGGGTGTGGGATCTGCGAGGGCATTTGGATGAAGGGGGAGGTTGAGACCTGGGGCAGTTGTGAAGGAGGGAAATAGGGGGTTGGGTTATGACTAGGGATGTTAAGAAGTGGATAATTCGCTAATTGTGTAGTCTGTAGAATTTTTATCGACTACATGATTAGTTGATAAGGGAAGCAGTTAAAGCACTCAGTCCTGGCTCAAGCGGGTCCAGGACCTATCCCTGCTGTGGCTCTGCATTTAAAATGTATTAGGAGCTGGTCGGGTAGGCAGCCCAGTTCAGTCCCGGCTCATGCCTGGCTTACCCGGTGCAGAAGTAGGTCCTGGAGCCTGTGCAAGCTGGGACTGAGTCAGGCTGCCTGCCTGCCTGCCTGCCCAGCTCCTAATACACTTTAAATGCAGAGCCATGGCAGAGTTAGGACCCAGACCCAGTATGAGCTGACACTGAGCCAGGCTGCTGGCCAGCCAACTAAAAAATTTACTGGCAGAGGAGGAGGGGGTGGTAATGCGTATAGTTGATAGCATTAACCAATAAGGTTTTGCTTACATCTATAGTTGTGACCTATGGCAGGAGATGGTTGTGCCCTGGGGAGGGGGATTGGGCTGCATGGTCTGGGAGGGAGTATGGGTGTAGGAGCAGGCATGCAGAAGGTTTGAGTTCTGATCTGGGGAAGAGGGTTGGGGGCATAGGAGGTGAGATGCCAGGTGCAGGCTCTGGCCAAGAGGTGCTTAACTTAGGAGGCTCCCGGCCAGCAGCCCAGTGGGTCCCTCGGGCAGGCTCCCTGGCGGCCATGCTCTGCATACTGCTCAAAGCGGCTGGCTATGAGGTCTATGTGCTCTCTGCGCACCACATACCCTTTGAGAGAAGAGGAGCCCTCTGTGTGCTGCCTGTATTGCAAACAGCAGGCAGCTCCCACTGGCCATTTTCTGTCCAACAGGAGCTATGAGATTGTGCTGGGGCATGGGGCAGCACACAAAGTCCCCCCTGGGGCGCACCTCGCGAGAGGAGCACAGGGACCCACAGCTGGCCACCTTCAGTGGCATGCAAGGGTGGGGCAAGCAGGGAGCTTGCATGAGGCTCCCGCTGGGCAGCAGGACAGATTCAGCCCCATGACTGTATTTTGCCCACCCCTGTTCAAGAGCATTTCTGGCTGTAGGATTTATTATTCACATACTGCCTATCATGCCATTATTGTACTCCCAGATTTCCCACTCTGTTTTTCAGGGGTGTAACAAGTTGGAATTGAGCCATAAACACACACTATCACAAGTGTTCTTAAATTTCCTTACACTAAAGGGCCTTGCATATAAACTTAAAAGCTAGGGAAAACAGTGTGATCTCAATTTTCAGAACTCCAGATGGTCAAAGAATTGCTTCTACTAACCCTTAAGAACTGTTTAAATGATAAAATACTAAAATCTTTATCTAGGGCAAGACCTGGCCAATGTGAAAAGCTTCTTGAATTATATTAGATAATAGATTTGATAAACTATGAATGCAAATAATATAAACAACATTAGAAAAGAATCATTCCTTTCTTCAGTCAAGGATTAGCATTGATGGCTTTAGTACTCAAAGTAAATGTTTAATATTCTTGGCTGCAAAGATAGAAAAATTAGAAAGCTAGGAACTCTGTGATCTTATCCCACTTACAGTCCAGCTCATGGAAGGCTTAGTCATAACTGAGCCCTGGTCTACACTAGGACTTTATTTTGAAATAACACCCCCCCCAAAGTCAAATTTATAAGCAGAGCATCTCCATCACCAACATTATTATTACAAAATAATGGGCCATGGAATTCAAAATTTATTCTCCTACTTTTCATCAGGAGTAATGCTAATTCTGAAATAGTTATTTCGAAATAACGGTACTGTGGACGCTCTGGTGCCGCTATTTTGAACTACTTACTCCCCAGAGTAATTTGAACTAATTACTTCCCCTGTGCTTCCTGGGGCTCTTAGTCAAGGTAGCACATCCACATTGACAGAGCCTGTCTTGGACTAATTTCAAGGCTTCCCCATAATATGGATATGCTAGTTTGAAGGTGTTAACTCAGGAGTTATTAAGTCAAATGTATTAATTTTGAAATAATTTCCTAGTATAGACATGGCTCAAGGGATATAAGTACAGACTAAAAAATACGTTAATTAACTGTGTAGCAGATAAACTATGCATTAAACGTTTGATTCCTAAAGGGGTCTGTGACTGTGTAAAAATTGTGTACCAGGGGCATGGTATTTATGAAAAGTGAACAAAATAAAAAATCCTATTGCCCTCAAAATTTTACACATATCAAATTAAGTTTTACACAGAGCATTATTTGAAATAGACAAAAAGGGCCCAATGAAATGTCCACTTAAGTCAATAAGAGGACTACCATGGAATTTAAAGGGCTTTGGATTAGGCCGAATTTGTCCAAAAGATTATACAATTTTAATCAAAGACTCCCAATAGGAACATAGAAATCAGGACAATGCAGCCCAGTCAAATAAAGAGGAAACATTAAAACTCTCACAATATCACTATTATAGATTCTACCACACTTCAAACAATACATATACCATAGACAGCAAAGAGAAGGAGAACTAGTAAAAGTATGCAGAAGTGCATAGCCCAGAATCCTTTCACCTATTTTTTCTAAAGCAAAATATAAAATTTATATTGAGAACATTGAAACATAAATGCTATAAAACATTCAGATGAGTTACACAAGGGATGAATTTGGCCCATCAAATTAAGCCTCATTTTTTTGTTTAATGATAAAGCAAAGATCGATCCCCATGTTACAACTTGTCTTTTTACAGTTACTATATGCATGTAGTGTCTTCGCTAGAGAATATGTTAAATAGGCATCAGTAAAACTATTTCCTGGATGGGTATACGTGAAGTAAATTTGAATGCAATATTTAAGATAAAAAATGAGTGCTAAAATTGTATTGTATCATAGTGATTTAAATACACGGGACAATAATTCTAAAAATCTCTTTGCTGTGTTATTTGCTTGTCAGAGATCAAGGTTTAGCAATGCATTTAAGCGAGGCAGAAATAGTGTGTGCACAAGCATTTTCCAGATCTTGTTTCCTTAGGAAATAATACATTGCACTTCAACAGTGCCTTCTGAGGGACCAGAATTTGGCCTCTAACGACCTAGAAGAAGCAATGTCCTCAATGGAGCCTTGCTGTTAGTGTTTGTGCTACTGAGAATATTTCTGCTTGGTTGATTAAGAAAAGATGTGACAAAAAATGGAAGTAATGAACAATAAAGAAACTTCAACTTCAACTCCAGAGACTATTTGCACCTTGTGCTAAATACAGCAGCGATTCTATTGCTTTTGCTATTACAGTATATTCTAATAGGGCTGCAGAGAGACCCTTTAAACTGAGGGGCTGTGTGTACATTGGCATGATTTTGCGCAAAAGCATCTACTTTTGCTCAAAAACATGCTGCCTGTCTACACTGGCCACGAGTTCTTGCACAAGAACATTGACATTCTAATGTAGGAAATCAGTGCTTCTTGCACAAGAACTATGATGCTCCCACTCAGGGATAAGCTCTCTTGCACAACTGTTCTTGTGCACGAGGCCAGTGTAGACAGGCAATGTTAATTTCTTGTGCAAGAAAGTGTTTACACTGGCACGGATGCTTTTGCGCAAAAGCACATCTCTTGAGCAAAGGCACATGCCAGTGTAGATGCTCTCTTGCGCAAATACTTTAATGCAAAACCTCTTGTGTTAAAAGTATTTGCGCAAAATCTTGCCAATGTAGACGTAGCCAGGGAGTTTCTGACGGTAAATAGTTAGGAGTGCATTCACACCTATGAAATGTTGCTCATTTCATTCCCATTCTTACCTACTTTCCTCACAATTCTGGTGTGCCATCATTTTATTGATGAACATTTATTTACATGAGAAATAAAGAATAATGAAACTGACACAATAGAGCCATTTATATGAACAGACTGAGACTCACTACATTTTAAAGTTTCTTGTATTAATAATTCTTTGCGCCCTGCATTTTGCATCTGTGCCTGTTTGCCACACACAGCAACTCACATATGAGCCTTGGCAAGTTGAGGTGTGTTTGCCCCTACTTATCTCACAGATCTTTTTTTATCAAAAACAAGACACAATTCCAAATGCAAATATTGAGTGTTCTCACATGGCCACTGGAATTGGCAATAACAGTAAATAGCTGTAATTTTGGAAGGTGCTTATGGCACATATTAATTTTGTTTCTTTTTAAAAAGTGGTTTCTCTGCAATGGGGCACTGGGCTGGTTGGAAGTCAGCAACAGAAAGGAGAAGGGAGATAGAGTAAGGCAAGATAAGTCTTGGATCAAGACAAAAATTTGAGGATTTAGATCCATTGCCTTTATGAAAATGTAATGTAAATATGACAACAAAATGAATGAGTGAAGGGGTAAAGTGTTCCTAGAAAAATGTTCACTAATATCTTTGCGTATGTCTACACAACAGGGCAAAAGTCAAATTAAGCTATGCAACTTGAGCTATGTCAATTGTGTAGCTTAAGTCAAAATAGTTTGATTCAGCTTTGGTGCTGTCTACACAGCAGAAAGTTGAAGGAAGTACACTCTTCCTTCAACTTCCCTTACTCCTTGTAAAATGAGGGTTACAGGAATTGGAGTAAGAAGTCCTCCAGCTCGACATTATTTCAAAATAAAGGCTTGCAGTGTAGACACACATTTTGTTATCTGAAATAATGCTGCTGTGTAAACATAGCTTTTGAAAGCATAGGACCAAATCATACATTCTATTCAAACATGCTTTAATGTGCCTTTGGAGGGAACAGCACAGGAGGACGGTTGTGTGAATTCTTTTGCAGACTGGTAATCAGCTGGAATGCTACTACAGGGCAGAAGGACAAGGAAAACAAATCTCTCTTTTAAAGTAGAAACTGGGGAGGTAAATATTCTTCTGTAGCTGTGAAGGAAGGAGCAAAAGGGAGGGGAGTATTTATTTTACATCTATTTTACTAAAATAAGCCAACCCTTATTTCAACCTATTATTAGATCAGGGATAGTTTACAGTAATATCTAGGAACATGAATGTAATTTGATGGTATTTATTCTCTATAAAGAATACTCCCCATGTTAGGGCCTATTCAAGCTCTCACAGCTCTGACTAAAATATGAATGATAGGATGTGGATGTTGATGTGCTAGCAAGAACCAAGAACTGTCTTCTATAGTTTATTTACTATCAGGACATACCATTTACCTGGCTGTGTCCTAAATATAATTGTGCAACTGGTATAAAAGCTTTGGTGTCTTTTTTCCCCCATAAGTTGTGCCTGCACACTTGAATATTTTTATGGAAATTTAGTTCTCACAATTTTCACCATTTACTAGTTTCCACATAAAACTGTGGAAAGGTAAGCATGTCTTGTTGATTTACACAAATATAAAATTGTTTTACACTGGTTATTCCTTTTGTTTCATTCATGGACACTGAAAACTATACATCAACGTAGCAGAAATTGCCTCAAAAGAGTCTGCACCTGGTAAAAGCATTCTCTATCCATTATGCTTTAGGAATGTACAGTGAGGATGCAACCATGGCATCTTCATTAAGATCTGGTAACACATTTTGATAGCTTTTGTGTGGATGTAAATGAGACATATGCCCAGTACAGTAGTTGAATGATTTAGTCGAACTGATGGCTTGATTTCAATAACAGTAACTTAAAGCCGCTATACAGTAAAATAACCCACTAAGCCTAATCTGGAAAAGGCTTCTGAAACAATTAGGCAATATCCATAGTTGGAGCAAAGTTAAGAGATCTCCTATCCTAATGAAAAGTTAAGACAGGTATCAATAGATTATGTACAGTTCTTTATTTTACACTTTGAATAAGGTAAACAAAAGGGTAAAATTGACATAACCTTTCTTCCATTATTGAGCTGCATTTTGTAGCTACCCACCCTATATGTTTCCAGTAAAACCTAAATTCAATAGAACTTATGCCCTTCTAAGTCAAGGAGTTGAAAAAATAGAGTAACTTTTGATTCATTTGCTTATAATCTGTTCAGTTCTTTGCAGCTAAGGATAGCCATACAATATTTTAGACCAGACCCTCTGGTGCAGTGCAACTTTGTGCCACTCCACTAACAGATTCTCATTGTAAAGCCAGTATATCCAGCCTCTCAAGGATTAGCCCAGTGCAAGGAGAAGCATCCAGTAGCACTGAGTTGACAGAGAGGCTTCTACGTGTAAAGAGTACAGCCAGCGGAAAGAGGGTGTGACTGAGGTGCTCTTAAATTACCTGCTCCTCAGCTATTTAATCCCATGAGGCTGTTAGTACCTGTGATTAATTAGGGCAGCCTCAGGGCTGCTCTAACTTACACAAGAGGCCTACCCTCTCAAGAGCAATCTTAGTTCTAGGGAAGTTCAAAGGTGAAATGTCATAATCTTTTTCATACACACACATTTACTGTGTGCTCCTTGCTCAGATGCAAGGATCTGATCTGTCCACTTACCATGTTCAAATGTGCCTGAGTCAGGAGTCTGCCATTAAAAAAGAGCAAAGAAAGAAACTGAACTATTTTCTCCGAGGTGTTGCATAGCAAGTATTCTTCCTCATAGTAGGTAAGCCAGTGTTTAGAACTGGCAATCTTTTAAATCCATGAATTCAGTTCTTTAAGAACTATCTACCTCTGCTACAGCTTTACAATACTGATTGTGTGACTTTTTTCAATTATAGTACGCAGTGTATAGCATATATTCATCAGTGCAACCTGAGAATGATTTATTCAAGAGACATGTAGGCTTTTGGCCCCTTGCCTTGAAACTGTAGTCCTAGCTGCTGCCTGTAGAAGAACATACTGAGCTACACATATTTATATTGGAATTCTCAGATTCAGCTTCTGTCTCGGCTTCATCAGTAGTTTCAGGAGGAGAAATAGATTCATTCATTTGATCTTGACTCCTCTTCAACCTGTGCAGAACATATGAGTAACATATTAAAAGCTTTCTCTACACTTAAAATGTTTGTAGAAACAATGAGTGAAAAACCTGACATGGAAAATGAGTTCTAAGGTGCCCCTACCATCCACATGTGCTAACTTATTGGCAACTACCCTTTAGGTCTCAGAAAGCTAAATGGGCCATGGCTAGATTCCTTCTAAATGGGAGGGAAATCCCAGTTTGGGGACAGTTAGACAAGGAATGACTTAGCCAATGCAGCAAAGCGTCTACACTGCCGCTGAGTTCTGTTGACATAACTTCAACAGAACTCAGCAGTTTTGTCGATGGCTGTAAACCTCATTCTGTGTGGAATAACGCCTTCTGTCGACAGAAGGCGTTATTCCACACAGAATGAGGTTTACAGCCATCGACAAAACTGCTGAGTTCTGTTGAAGTTATGTCAACAGAACTCAGCGGCAGTGTAGACGCAGGTATAGTTTTGTCGACAAAAGTCCCCTTTTGTTTACAAAACCTTGTAGTCTAGACACACCCTTTATGTGCTGAGTATCAACTAAAATACACAGAACAAATGCATGAACAAATTTGATACATGGAACAAACATCTGAGTTTGTTCCATATTTGAGATAGGGGTGTAAACGTCTAGTCAACTACCCGAAAAGCCTAGACTTATTGGGTATTTGAGTGACCACTCGACTAGTTGCTTCTCCCGCTTGCTGCCTCTGAAGCAGCAAGCGGGGGGAGTGGGAGCCAGTTTAAAAGCCAGCTCCCTCCAGCACCATCTCCACAGGGACTCAGCTGTCCCGATTCATGCTCGGAGCGAGACCACTGTGGCTCTGCATTTTTTAAATGTAGTAAGAGCCACAGCAAACCCCCGTATCAACTAATCAAGTAGTCAATGGAAATTTGCTATTTAACATTGCTAATTTGAGATCTATCCAACCCATAGCTTAACATTTTCATAATTTTTTTATAAGTCCTTCCATTTAAAAGCCTTTTTGAATCC